CGTTGTAGTAAAATGTTTTGCAAACCGAAGCGGTCATGGTTTTAGAACGGCTTCAGTCCTGTGGAGTTTTGGCTCCCTGAACTGTAACATCACAAAACTAACTAACATGATGGTGAGTGGGCGGTGTTGAACTTTTTCCTAGACACCAGCACTAGTGCTAGACACCACTTAGGTGTACCATTACATGTTTCCCCTGTACCCAGAGTCTACGTCTTCGATTGCAACCAATCAATCAACTAACAAAATTATATGTTTTCAGAACCATGACAATAAATCGTAAAGTAAGACAGGTTCCAGCGACCCACAAACTAACAAGGGGGTGATAGACACTTGCGCCCTGGCCGTAACTTGGGGAGATTGAAGTCACCGGGGCGTAAAAACAAGGGCGCTGGATTTGCATGACATTGGAGAGGCGTCGATGTGTACTGCTAATCAAAGCTACACTCAAACTCTGGTGAAAAACTGTTAACATGTTCGGACATGTATGTTTTGAAATTTATATGACATAGTGGTTGAAACGCTGTAGCATGCACACTCACGTACCTCCTCGGTTAACAGCTGTTAACATGTTAGGACCATGTTTTTAATTTCATATTACATTTAGTTTTGATGAAATGCTATAGAGCTGTGTGTTTTTGTTTGGTTGTGTTTTTCTGTTGAATGTGTTAGTAAATGAGCAAAACGAATAAAATAGTTACTTAATTGATTTTTCGAATTATAACAATTTAGTTGGAAACCTAATTTAGTAACACATTACTGTAAAATGTAAAACAAGGGACGTAGGAATTTTTCAACATTCTTTATTGTCTTTATCACATTCACTTTTGTTAGTTTCAGTTGGTAACGTAGTGGTCGGTGAAAATTTGTGTTCTATAGTATGTTGTTAGTAATCTTTATTGGTTATAATTGATTACCTTTGAAAAAGCATGAAGATTTTAACCGTACCCAATAATGTCAACAAATAGATTATTAGTTCCACACTTTTCTAAAATAATTACCATTATTTGTATTCTATTGTAATTGACACAATAGAATTCGTAAGATAATATCTCAGAAGGTAAAGTATGCCGATACCATGTTAAAAATAAAAATACAAAACTACACAGCCACTTGACGCTAATTTGTAGGCCCTAGTACCAAGTTAGACCAGTATAAAATACAAAAGTATTATTTTACACCAGTTATAAACTGAGTTGTATCCTCGTGCGTTCAAAAACAGAAAAAAAACCTTCAATGACATCAAAACTCTTATAATTCGTGCATAATAAGCGAAACCGTTCAAGTGACATTACGCTCAACAAAGATATTGTTCAGGCGTTGCATTGTTGTAAAAACCGACGATCTATTCAATTTTCACTGAAACGGAAACTTTTTTCATTAAACTACAAGGCTTTCCACGACAATAGTTTAGTCGATAAACATGATGACGTTTAATTTTACGTCTAAAGGGGTTTTGATTGATATTTTCACATCATATTTGAATATATTACAATCATTTTGCTGGTGGTTTTACTATTAAAAATTATCACAGTAACAGAACAATTTCATTGTAAATTCCAAGTAGATTTCGCTCGAGTTATCGCGCTAACGAACACATATACAGGGAGATTTTAATTTTGTTTACTTTTTTATTTTTTTTATGATGTAATATTGTTCATAACCAAAAGTTGGCACACACGTAGTGTGCCAGAATTTCAACCGTTTTGCCGTATCTCAAGCCGTTTTCGAGATATAAGCGTTTTTAAACAGTTTTCTGGAATAGACATTTTTGAGGTGTGGAAAACTGTCATCAAGTCTGGACTTTGAAAATTTTCATGGTAACTGTTATACCCATATAAAATAATGTTAATTTTTTTTTACTTTTTGATTTTTTTATGTTGTAATATTGTTCATGAACAAAAGTTGACACCCACGTAGTGTGCCAGAATTTCAACCGTTTTGCCGTATCTCAAACCGTTTTCGAGATATAAGCGTTTTTAAACAGTTTTATGGTATTAAACTGAATCTTCAAAATAAAACGAGCATTTTTTATCAAGTTGGAAAAAGTAATGCTTGGTGAAAAAAGCAATTATTTTTTATAAAGGGACCACTTGCATTTTTGAACTTTGTGTACTCCTCCAGCGAGTGACCCCCGGCGTATACTATGATTTCTTCAACCCCACGGAGGCAATGTGCCACTGTCAAGACCCATTCCTCAGTTATGATCGAACCTGTGCACCTACCTGCCATTTCACCACAATGTTTACTAATAATTGTATAAAACGACGACATATGATCTAATTGACAGACTGGACGATTTATATTAGCCATAGTCATAGATAAAACATACTCCCTTGCGTTGGTTAGTCTATGCTTCTCGTTATTTCTTAAAGTGAATATTTGGAAATATAGTTTACTTGTAATATAAATAGGCCATAAATCAGAAGTAGTTTTAGCATATTTGTATGCTAAAAACAAGTTTTATGAGCTGAAATTAAACGCTATTGTTTATATGGTTTGACAACGTATAACTGTAGTTAAATGGAATATTTTTACAAGTTTTTAACATTTCAGTTAGATAATTTTAGATAATTTAGATAATAAAATCAATGTTAGATTGTTTTTAACTGTGTGTATTTTCTGATGAATTTTGATGGCGTGAATTTGCCATCATATATTGAAGTAGTGTTTTACTTCAAGATGTTAGGTAGGTTTTTGAGGGTTAAACTAGTAAATATACAGTAATATCCTTTAGTTTACATGTGTTTATTGTTACCCAACGTATATGATAGGGTGATCTAGCATTCAGGTGTCGACAACCTTTGAAATTTCTCTGTATTTTTTTGTAAAAAGTTAATAACAAATAATTATGTTCATAAAATGAAATTATAAATGCCTCCAATTCTAAAAAAAAGTAGTCTACAGTAAAGAACAAATCACATTCTAAGCAAAACTTTTGTCAAAAAGATAACGCTGCTGGTGGGATTCGAACTCGCCCCTCAGGTCGACAGCCGAGCACTCTAACCATTATACCACGACCGCGGTTGGCTGTCAATCCGTATCGTGGTGTTCCATAAAAGAATTACCAGCTGGTTATACACATGTTTTAGCCACCTAAAACTACATATATTATTTAAGACTAGTGCACCTGTTGCTCAAATTCGAGCAATTGCAAAGTATTACAGGCGTTCAAAACTAATAACAATCGCGATTTCCGATGACTTAAAAATAGTCAACTCAAAGATGATGTAATCAATCACTCAACTGCTGTTATCGAAACTGGAAACGAACTCACTCTGAATACGAACGCTCTTGGATGTATCGTGTGTTTACTATGAACAGCTGTAATTAACACAAATAATTCGTCTGTTTAAGTAAACAAAATCTTTTCTTCATTAGAAATACATTGGGATTTTGATCGCCTGTGGGGCAAAGCCCGAGGACTTTTATTACAGGATTTGGTGAAAGAATTGGCCTACACAAAAAAATACTTAATTTTTACGCATCGTTTGTAAAAATACGTCCATTATTAACGGAGGAGTAGTGTTTCGTACAAATCGCCTTCACGTATTATATATAAGGATTTTTTAATTACTATTAGCATTTGACTATAAACAGAATGCTATTAGACAACTCAAGGCTATGCTAATGGTTTTTCTGAGCAAAACTTTGCCTCCACGTAATGTTATTTTAAATGGAGAATTACTGAGCGAAGCCAGTGAATCTCGTATACTAAATACAAGGCCTAGCCTACCACCAATTTATCTATACTTACTAATCTGTAACAATGTATCTGCAATTCTAAAATGCTATAGGAAGAGAGGGAAACAGGTCCACGACGTAAGAAGTGGTGAAGATAGTAGCCAAGGCCAGTAGTCCGGAGTGAAGGAACCCTTTGTGACAGTTAGATTAATGTACCTGCAATACTACAATGCAATGGAAAGGGAGGGAAACAGATCCTCAGCGTAGGAAGTGATAAAGGAAGTAGTCAAGGCGAGAAGTGTAGAGTGTGGGAACTATTTGTGACAGTTAGATTTATGTATCTGCAATGAAACAGTTGCAATACTAAAATGCTATGGAAAGGGTGGGAAAAAGGTCCACGAAGTGGTGGAGGAAGTAGTCAATGCGAGCAGTGCGGAGTATGGAAACCGTTAGTGGCAGTTGGATTAATGCATCTGCAATACTAAAAGGCTATGGGAAGGGAGGAAAACAGGTTCACGTCGTAGGAAGTAGGGGAGGAAGTGGTAAAGGTGAGAAGTTCTGAGTGTGGTAACAGTTTGTGGCAGTTAGATTAATGTACATGCAATACTAAAATGCTGAGGGAAGGGAGGGAAACAGGTCCACGACGAGGTTGTGGCGATGGAAGCAGTGCGGAGTGGGGGAACCGTTTATGGAATTTATATTCAATAGTTAGATAAACATATATTGGATTTTTAATCATTTTTAGGTGATATAATAGCGCTATCGTTAATATGTGTTATATATCATCATTATAAGCCATACGATATTTTAAAAAGACTCCTTTACACCGTGCTGTGGCAATTAGGTTAAGTTAGATTAGTTCAGTTTAGCTTAGTTTTGTTTATGATAGTCCTCATAACAAATAATGAAATAGGCTTCAATCAATCAAATGACGTTTTGTACAGGAACGATGGATTCCTATCGATAACTGTTGGAAATCCATTACGTATATTACCAATGACTTTGGTTAATGAATAGACGAGGAGTTAGGACTGTTGTTGACTGAGATTTGGTTGATTTGCCCATACAAATAACATTGTGTTCACCAGTGACACCGGTAAGTAGGCTAGGTGCGGGTGGACTCTTCCATTATTGCGCTCACGTTCACTCATCCTGTTACGCGCAGAATAAGCGTAGTGTACAACTAGTTTTTTTGTTTTTATTTTTTTTTTACTACTAGTTAAGTAAATAAATAAAACAGTTCATTACCTGAGAAATGAGTTTATTAAAACAACCAATATGGTATTCATAAATAATAAACCATATGAGTTATTTGTTCGTGCTGATCCACTATATTTAGATTCCTTCAAGATTTTCGTTCCATTGAAGACGTTCGTGTGCTCATTGATCCATGGAAGAAATGGACAGATATCCTGAAACATAATCAATATGGGACTGGAAAAACGTCATTATAGAAGGTGCAGTAGAACCTCTATAGCAAGCCTCTAGGGATTATCATATACGACTTCTTATCAAGGTTGACTTCTTAGCGAGATTTACAATAACATGTCATTTAGGACATTATAAATTCAAAGGGTATCATTATCAAGGGCCTTGTTATCAAAATTCTAATGTACCAGAAAACAGTGACCTAGGATTACAATAGTAATAACGGACAGCAGTATCCCGATTAGAACCATCACAACGCTACTGACTTTTCTCAGGGATGAACTACCGATCGTCTGGTTAATACGCGAGCAATATAACCGATAAGCTACCCAGCTCTATAAAATATAAGATAGGGAAAACAAAAATCCCAAATACCCCCGCCGCAGCAAACCTGCAGACTAAGCGAATTCAACTTATTACATATTTACTAAAATATTTTCACAAATAAGATATATTTATTCCCGGTTTAAATAACATTAGATTTAACAAGTGCTCAGGTTTGCTGCTGGGGAAGGTAAGCAGTGTTTTTGACCAAACATCATACCAAACATGGTATAGGATGAAATAAATAAATTTGCTTAATTTGATCAACATATATCCATAAACAAGTAAACTACAGCAGTTTTCATTTTATCCATAAGAATAACATGGGAATTTTGAATTTTAAATTTTTTGAATTTTCTCCGTAACAATTAGGCATACAACAATGCTTCAATATACTAAATTATTTCTTTTTTAAGCTCTACAAAATGTTGTTCAAAGGTTTATTGCGGACATTTTCCATCACGATGGTCAACTGTCAAATAAACCATAAATCAAAATGTCCTCAATAATCCTTTGAACAACAAAACTCCCCATCACCAACAATGAACTTCAAACAAAGAATCTACAAAATGGTTGGGAAAGAAATTTCAAAAACTTAAAGTTTTTTGGGTTAAAAATGGAAAACCCCCATTTTACCTCATAAAAACCCCCATAAACCCCCGTTGCAATGGTCCAATCATGCTGGTTCGCAAACTCATTCGAATAAACGCAGGTTTACACGTTTATACAAAATTTCATCAAAATCGGATGATTTTTGTTCGAGTTATCGTGCTAACGGACACACTCACACACACAAACACACAAACACACATATATCCTACTAATATTATATATATATATATATATATGTGTGTGTGTGTGTGTGTGGATGTGAACAGATAGTGTTTTTGGCCCCTGAGGACCTAAAAACGAAAAATCAATCGGTCCCGGGTCCAGATCTTACCATGGCTATGGCAATAGCTTATTTCCTATATGGGAAATTCGCTAAAACTTCAAACGTTAAATCCAATAGGTAAATTAGTAAGTGAGTATCTTCATGAGGTCGGCGTTATCAGAATCCATAGTGATCAGCATCAATCGAGTCGTCAGTTGGATATCGCTGCAGAAAACGTTGTCCTTATTTTGAAGAGGCATCCTCAGTGGTTAGGCCAAGACTACAGTCTCCTCGGTTGACGCCTAGCCTATGTTCTATCTATGTTTCTATGATGAGACTAAACACTCACTTGAAACACACTGAGAGTATTCATGCCTCCGCATTGCAACTCATCTAAAAAAACAGACCACAGTTTTTGGTGTCGTCTATCCTGACCATCCACATGGACACTCCTCGTACCTTCCCTCCACAGACCAAACCTCCGCCAGAATCTCCTAAACACGTGCCGTAGCCCAGCTTGGGCTTGGTACAGAGGAACCTGCTGGCCTGCAACAGACAGCAGACAGATCACGGTTTAGTGTTGTTTAGTGTATTAGTCAATCTCACGTATTTCAAGTCGGCGCGGCTCTAACTGCAAAGATGAATAAAATAAAAGATTGAGAGCGTATTTTGAAAATCAATAAATTATAGCTGGATAACATAAAAAAAACTAACTGAACTGTTTTGTTTTTATATCAAGGGAAGTATTTTCATGTAGTTTATGTTTACTTCAGAATGAATCCATTATGAAAATTACACATATTATGTTCTATCTGAATAAGAAAATAATTTTTTTTTATATCATGATAAGGAAAATAAGCTAGTTTAATATTAAAACGTTACTTTTCCAAGTTAGAAACATTGAAATGCATTATAGTCTTTTATAAATACTCGTTAATATTACTATAAGATTATAATTTATTATCTTATTAAAAAAAAAACTTTATTATGGTATCTGCCGATCTTTGGTTACAGTAATAAAATAACACCCAACGCATAACTATGAAAAAGACATGCAGATTAACACCTTTAGTTATAAATAGTCACATGCAGTGTGGATATCCTCTTTAAATTTTGTATCAAAAATCATCATAGAGCCGTGCCAACTTAAAATACGTGAGCTTGACTAATACAAAAGTTTACTTTACTGAAATTATTTCATTCTTTTTAGAGTGTTTGAAGTCGGTTGTATTTTTTACAAAAATAAATTATTATAGTCTTCTTTTCAGGGTAAAAATTACAGTGTGATATTGTAATTTTTGGCTATCATATTAAAGGAAGCATCTGCAAAATATAGTCGTAATATGTGTACTGTACGTTATAATTAGAACGTAAGCAAATGTAACCGGACATTCCCAAATATCTTAACAGACTTCGCAAAGGTTTAATATCGAATTTTGAATAGATGCGATTTCAAGTCCATTATATTTGCCGGTCTGAAATAAATAAATAAAAAATGTTATCATAACTCAGCTGTGAAACGTATTGCCGAAGTCAGTTGTAACGAGTCAAAATGTTTTCTACGTATTAACAATGTTATGAATAAAATATTGAACCATTTTACAAAATCTAAGAAGCTTACAATTTCAAAAGTAAAAGAGTTGTTTTATAAAGTCTTCTATCTATAGGCCTACTTAAAGTACTCTTCACAAGTGCCCAATGAAACAGAATAAGGTAAATTATTTAAAACAGTGACAGGCTTTTGAACTTTAAACTACATCAATAATGCAACTTCAAAAATATATCATTAAGAAATATTTACCAAATTAAATGTGGACTTTACTTATTCCATTTACATTTACCTTAAGACTACACTAGACCCACACACTTACTCACCGCCTCTGATCCATATCGCATGCGAAGTCTGAACGAGCAGAGGCAAGGGCTTTTTATATCCAGACGAGTCGTCTTCCTGTATTTATCGTCTTTGTTCTTCTCTTCCATCAGAACATCACCAAACCCCGTCAAATCACACTTCGTATACCCATGGTAACTCTCCTTCCAAGGTGTCGTGGTCAGCTGTATCGTGCTCACAGCCCGCGTAAAGTTGAACTTTCCCTCCACTTTGATCAGCCCCACGTCAAAATCCAAATCTCCTCTCACAAATCGAGGATGACTGATAAAACTAGAGGATCGGAGCAGCTGGGCTGTAGGAGGCAAGAGACCGCTTCCATTTTTGAACTTTGTGTACTCCTCCAGCGAGTGACCCCCGGCGTATACTATGATTTCTTCAACCCCACGGAGGCAATGTGCCACTGTCAAGACCCATTCCTCAGTTATGATCGAACCTGTGCACCTACATTCCATTTCACCGCCTTGTAGCATGATGAGGAGCACAGAATACGGGTATTGCTCTGGTTCTGTCAGGTTGTAAGAATCTTTTCTCCAGTCATTTTGGTTAAATACGACTATTGTTTGAAAATAGAAAATAAATAATCCAAGTATCAATTCCATTGATGATTTTGAAACCGAAACAACAAAATTTTGAATTTAATGCACAAGGTTAGGAGTATTTATGTTTGTTTACTAACATTGTATAAAACAACGACATGTGATTAAATTGACAGACTGAACGATTTGAATTAGCCATAGCCATAGATTAAACATAGTCCCTTGTGTTGGTTAGTCTATGCCATAGGTCGGCAGTTAGCTAATGAACGTACATTAAACACTAAGTATTCTATGATGGAGAATATTTTACTGCATTTGATCAATTAATGACCGTTGGTGATATATGTACTGTGTAGACAGTGTGTGCATTGGCTACCCTGATACTTACTTACTTTCCGTGTCCGGAAATCAGACTTCGCTTTTCCAAAAATCAGCTACCGATATGGCTTTGTCCTTCGCTTGTAAAAGATCATCTAATGTGTAAGACTGGTCTAGGCATGGACAGATCAGCTGATGGCCAGGATTCTGAACAGCACCACACGCGCACAAGATATTTTCTTCGTCTGGTAAGAGACCCCATTTCTGCATGTTTGTCTTGCATTTTGGTACCACGACCCTGATTCAATTTAGGGTCTTCCACACCGTGTAATGAAGGCCCCAACCAGGAGCCAGTTCCTCCCTGGCTGGTATGGGAGGATGAGTCAACGTGGCCTCCCACCTTGCCACCCGATTGCTTGAGAGTGATCCATCCAAGACTCGTGTTCGTGATAAAAAGCTTTTTCTGGACCGAAGCCGCCGCTCTGCAGGTTGGTGGCCGTGTAATGGGTGACGAGGGTCTGTCTCTTGCTTAGTCCTTTTTGCGTCGGCAGCGACATCACCTCGGATTGATGGAGGGGCGATCCCTACGATAGAATAGAGTTTGTGTACTGGGGTTGGTTTCAAACACCCAGTTACAATCCGAGCCATGTCATTGCCTGCAATGTCAACCTTTTTTGCATGTGACGATGCATTCCATACTGGTGCAGCGTACTCCGCAGCCGACACACTGAGCGCTAAAGCTGAGGTTCGGAAGACATTAGGGTTAGCACCCCAGCATCTGTTGGTGAGCTTCCTGATGATATTATTCCTCGCTGAGACTTTACCTCTTGTCGCAATACAATGTGCCTTAAATGTAAGTGTGCGGTCCAGTATGACACCAAGATATTTGGGTGTAGGACAATGCTGAAGACGGTCTCCCCGCCACCTCACATTCAACTCACGGCCTGCTTCTCTATTGTTATAGGTGAAATGCACAAACTTGGGTCTTAGCAGGGTTCGGTTTGAGGTGATTTGCGTCATAGTACTGGGAAAGTTCATTTAGGGTCATAGTCAGCTTCTGTTCCACCTCTTCAAAACTCCTACCTTGTGCCGCCACCACCGTATCATCGGCATATATATACTGACGTGTAGCGTTTGGTAACGGTTGGTCGTTAGTGTAAATGTTATAAAGAGGTGGGGCTAAGACGCTATTCTGAGGCAATACATTTCTTTGATTCCTCCATCTACTTTTCTTGCCTTGAAGGGACACGAAAAACGGCCTGTTATGAAGAAAAGTCCCTATCATTGAAGTCAGCTGATAGTCTTTGGTAATGCTGTACACTTTTCCCAAGAGTCTTCGATGGTTTACGGTATCGTAGGCAGCTGTTAAATCTACAAACGCGACACCCGTGATCTGTTTTCTCTCAAACCCATCCTCAATGTGCTGGGTCAGGTTTAAAACTTGGCCACAACAAGACTTGCCTGATCGAAAGCCTGCCTGGTGTGGAATGATCTTTTGTTCCAGAAAATCGCCGATTCGATTTAGTATCAGACGTTCTAATATTTTATATGTGTGGCATAAGAGAGAAACAGGTAGAAAGTTCTTAGGATCGTTTGGATCTTTCCCAGGTTTGAGCAGTGCAGCCACACGAGCTTTCCTCCATGTCTTTGGTATATGCATTTGGCTTATGCACATGTTCATGAGGCTCAACAACCATTGCATGGCATTTTTACCTAGGTTCTTTAGTTGTTCGACTCTGATCTCGTCAATACCTGGAGCTCTATTAGTCTTTAAGCTGGTAATGACTGCAGTCAGCTCGGACATGGTGAATGGCTCTTCCAGGAAGTGATTCTCACTTGCCACACCACGCACAACAGGCTCCCGGTATTTCCTTCCATAGGTTTTACCATTTAAAAGAAGGTTGGTAGCGACTTGATCGGGGGATCGAGGGATATTGGCGATTTCTCTGTCAATGATTTCCCTAAAACCCGTCCAGTTGGCCTTTTTGAAATTAAACCTGCGCCTTAGAGGAACAACTTCAGGTTTAACAACAGCACTAACGGTGCATACTATATAGGTCTGTGTTGAGTTCGGGGAATCGGATAACCTACAGACTTTTCACACTGGGAGGCAATCCTATTGCTCACAAAGATGTTGTCAGGGTTATAACCCCTCTTCCATCTACCGCTGTGTAACGTTATTACATTTAAATAGAATGAAATATATGATTGAAGAATCTTTTATTCTCAAGCATTTATAACAAAAGTAACAAGTAAAACAAACATTGTTTTTATGAAAACATCTGATTGAATTAAATTAAAGAACAGTATTTCAGCATACATAACATTTCCCCCTTCCTTCTTTAAATGCCTGGAGGACTAATATTCATCATGGTAATACATTGGCCTTCTTATATTCCGACTTGATTTTCTCTGGTTTGTAGTACCAGATGAAGGTGAAGTTAGTGTTTGTGAAGTTTGCCGTTGAATAGATTGTTGTGCAGGCTGTATTTGTTGGCGTGTTCTTAAATGGTCGGCATGCTGCCTGTATTCTTTGTCATCAATGTTCACTCTGTATGACAATGGTGCTGTTTTCCTTAGCACTACCCCTTCTCTCCAATTTTCATTTGGATTCCGTTTCACCCAAACCGTATCACCTGCACTAAAGTCTTTACGTTTAGAGTGGATATCATGATAAAACTTTTGGCGTTCTGGCGACTGTTTCATCTTTTCCTTCACGTCCGGTCTTAGGGTGTCAATCAAAGTTCTTGGGTTTCTTTTCAGGAAACGTTCAGCTGGTGTCCGTCCAGTCGATGAATGTGGAGTTGTTCTGTATGAGAATAAAAGTGTATGGAGTCTTTGTTCGTGATCATTTATGTCAGTCATGAGATACTTGTTTTGAAATGTCTGAATAACTCGTTCAACACAACCATTGGAACGACTGTGGTAGGGAGTAGTTCTGATGTGAATCACGTTATTCTTGCGGCAAAAGTCTCTAAATTCTTCTGAGACGAACTGATTCCCATTGTCAGTAACAATTTGTTTCACAAGTCCATATCTACAGAAAAGTTCACGAAGTCGTCTTATCACAGTGTTGCTTGTAGCGTTTTTCATTGGAAATATTTCCAACCATCGAGAATATGCGTCTATTACCACTAACCACATGTATCCGTCAAAAGGTCCTTTGAAATCAATATGTAATCTTTCCCAAGCATTTTCCGGTATATTCCATGAATTGAGTGGCGTTTCGACATCATTCTTCCTGAAAGTTTGGCATCTTGTACAAGTTTTCACTAAGTTTTCAATGTCATCGTCTATTTTTGGCCAGTAAACATACAACTTCGCCAAAGAGCGCATGGCAACTATTCCTGGGTGTGAAACGTGGAGGTAACTAAGAATGTCTCCCCTAAGTGACTTAGGAATTACTATTCTTTCTTGCCACAATAAAATCCCCTCTTCATAAGATAGTTCATGTCTCTTGTCATAGAATATCTTCAAATTGTCTGGAATTGAACTTCGATCGGGCCATCCCCTGACACAATAGGATATAATGTGTTTCAGTTCATCATCTCTGTGAGTGTTATCTTGAAGCGTTCGTTTGTTGAGTGGCAAATCTTCAATTCTCATAGATCTAACTTGGTTTACTTCACCAAGCGTCTGATACGTATCAATGTTTGTTACTCCTTCTAAAGGTAATCTACTCAGACAATCTGCCAGAACATTATCTTTTCCAGCCCTGTAGTTTATATCGTAGTCGTATCCACTGAGTATAATAGCCCATCTTGCAAGTCTGGAAGCGGCATGTTTAGGTATAGGCTGCTTTGCCCCAAAGATTCGTTCGAGTGGTTTATGATCACACAAAAGTGTGAAATGCCTACCATAGAGATATTTGTAGAATTTCTCAACACCAAAGATAATGGCCAGTGCCTCCTTATCTTTGGAAGAATAGTTCTGTTCTGCTGAATTTAATGTCCTTGAAGCGGCTGCGATTGGTTTCTGACTGCCATCAGGACAACGATGAAGGAGAACTGCTCCTAATCCAATATTGCAAGCATCTGTTGCAAGGATAAGTGGAAGTTTAGGATCATAATGTACAAGTACCATATTGTTTGAGATGTTGCTCTTAATTTGGTTGAATGCGTTCTCACAGTCACTATTCCAGGCCCAAGTTGAGTTCTTGTGCAAAAGTCTATGTAAAGGAAAACAAAGAGATTGCAAATTTGGAATAAATCTTGAATAGTAATTCACAGATCCAAGAAATGATCTAAGCTCAGAAACGTTCTTTGGTGGGGGTTGTTTCTTGATAGCTTCTACACGATCTTCAACAGGCTGAATACCAAGAGCACTAATTTTGTGCCCAAGATAAGTCACACTTTGTTTGAAAAGCTGTAGTTTATCTTCACGCGTGCATAGTCCTGCTCTCCTCAATATATTTAAAACTGTTTTGAGCCTATCAATGTGTTCTGGTCCACTTCTACCGCCCACACATATGTCGTCAAAATACCATGCACAATCATCAGTACCAACTAATAATTGGTCCATCAGCTTTTGAAAAATCTTAGGTGCAGTCTTAATACCAAAAGGTACTCTATTGAAGGTAAAATTTTCTTTATGTGTCGCTACCACTAGATATTTTTTTGATTCTTCGTCCACTGGAATCTGTAGATACGCATCTTTCAAATCAATAACTGAAAAGAATTTTGAACCATTCAACTTAAGTACTGTTTCTTCAAACGTAGGGATGCAGTATTCGTCATCGAGTAAATGAGGGTTGATTGATACCTTGAAATCTGCACATAAT